CAATAAGGATGCCATTCATGCCATTATTGTTAGCCCTCTGGTCGCTGTCGCTCCTGTACCTGCTGCACATCGCCGTCGTCCGCCTCGACGTCCTGAGGATACGCTCCCACCTGAGATCACCTCAAGTCACCGCATCGCCGCGCAGTCCCTCCTCGCCGCCGCACGCGTCAAGGCACTCGCCAACGTCAAGTACTTCTCACCATAATCGTGCCTTCACGTTTGATCTGTCATCACTCACCCACTCACCCACCTAATCACTCAACCACTCACTCAACCACCCACCTCACCTAATCACTCACACACTCACCCACTCACTCACCCACTCACTCACCCTACCACTCAAATCCACCCACTACTCACCCACTCACCTCACTCACCACTCACTCACCCACTCACCCATCACCAACCACTCACCTTACCCACCACCCACTCCATCACACTTCAACCACTCAACCACTCACTCTAACCACCCACCCACTCCACTAACTCACTCCACTCCACTTCACTCCACCCACTCCAATCACCCACCTAATTCACATCACCTCCTCTTTACTTGTCAAGCTCCGCTCCCTGCTCTTTTCACTTTCCATCACCTTCTCCGTCGGCGTCCTTCACCCAAACCCTCATTTTCCGCCTTTCCCCTCCACCTCCGAAATCGCCTTACCTCAACCAATCTTCCTCCCTCATCGCCCTCTTTCGCCTCTTCACTTCCATCGCCTTGTCCACCCACCTCCCTCGCTGCCCCTCTGCCTCCTTGACCTAAAATCGCCTTTCCCCAAATTCCCCCGAATCGCCCTGAAAATGTGCCTAAAATAATCCTGCAACAACATTATTAAATAACCTGTGCTCTGGCTTGGAGAAGTTCCTTGGTTACCAAGAAACTTCCAAAGGCTACGATGGCTCCGGCATCGTGTACTCGGACCTTGACAGGCTGTGCGACGGGGTGATGTCTTTCCTTCATGGTGTTTTACATAACATTCAGCCTAAATTAGGCTTACATAGTGATAAGATTACAACAGCAATTAATGCTCTTAACACCCATAAACACTCTGGCAAAGAAGGTTTTAATGATGCGATTGGCAAGGTGGTCCAGGGGGTGAGGGAGTATAATGAGGGTGTTAGAAAATCTAATGAGCAAGTTAAAAATGTTGTAACTACACTTCAAGACTACACGAAGAAACAAGATGGTAAGTTACTTAATGACATTAATGATATTCAGGTTGACGAGAATTCTCGACCTCAAGAAGCGGAAGCTGCCAAGAAGAAAGTGGACGCCAGGCTGGAAGAATGCGGACGAAAGGCTTCGGCCTTTTGTAATAACCTAGCCACTAAGCACAATAAATTTGGAAATAGCGACACAATTAAACAATTTAATGATAAGTTGCGTGATAGAGTGTTACATGTTCGTGGCACAATAGAGTATGAGAAGCGGCTGGCGAGGAGCAAAAGCAGCGGGAGGAGGAGTTGAAGGCGACGACGGAGAAGATTAAGAGCGTGTTGAAAGAGCGTGAGACGGAGGTAAATGCGCACATTTGTAGAGAAGTAACTGCGGTTGTGCGGGAGGTGAAAGATAAGTTTCGGAGCATCTTGGCTGAACTTGAGAGAATTAGTCAGACACTGAGACAGCGCGTCGTGAACTTGGGAAAATGGATTGAACATGCGGATGCCGCCGTTAAGGCGGCGTTGACACAAGTGGAAAAGATATTAGATGTTGTTAATGAGAATAATTTAAGTAGCCATCCCGCGCTGATTAAATCGGCAGTGCAGCAGATTGAGTCAGCTGTCTTGGTACTTCATAGCTCTGGGGAGGCTGCCAGGAAGGAAGTCAAAGAAAAAGTTACCGCCGCCCTCGAGGCCGTGAAAGAGATGGACGACGAGCTGAAGAAGGATTTGTATAATGTTAAGGATAATATCAAGCGGGCGATCATGCAGTTGGCGAAAACGTTGGAAGGGAATGTGAAGAGTGATTTGGGGGTGTTGGAGGAGGGAGTTAATACAGGGATGAGGGAGTATGTTGGGGAGTTGAGAGAGCATATTAAGGGGAATATTAAGGGGAAAGTGGAGGAGATTTTGAAGGGCGAAGGAGATACACAGAGAGGCTTAAGGGGGATTGCTTTTGCTTTGAGAGGGTATGCGGAGAGGTTTAGTGACCCAGATACCTTTGAGAGTGGCATTTTGACGGTTTGGATTACGGAGATACTGAAGACGAATGAGGTTACTAGGCGTATTAAGGATTATATTGCCGAAAACAATGGTAGCAAGAAGAACATGTATGGTGATAATATTTTTAAAGATAGTTCCACCACTGCCGACAGATTCCATGAGCCCATTAAAAGGGAGATTAAGAAAGTGCTTCAAGAAGCAGGGGTTACTGCCCAAGTCAACGTTCAACCTAGCTAAAGCATTCAACAGAACGTGGAAAATATCCAGCGTGCTTGTAAGACATTTGCCCAAACTCTTCAGGTCATTGTTGATGACAAAGTTCAAACAATCGTGCACCAGATTGGACAAGACGAAGAATTATTTGAGGAACACAATAAGGGAGAACATGGCGCCTTACATCTTACTCAAGCCGTCAAACTCATTCTCCAACAAATGGTTATTAGGGCACGCAGAGAGGCTACCGAACTCGAATGGATGGTTGGGACCACCAAAAAAACAGGTAGGCAAGCCATTCAGCAACAGTAAATCCACAATCGCAGCTGAGATGGATGCGTCTAACGGGAGGGTTAAGGATCTTTTTCAAAAGCTTAGCAGAGGCACTAGCGCTCCCCAAACCGACACAAAGGGGACCGGCACTATTAATGATGAGATTGCGGCGAAGCTTAAAGTGAGTTTCAAGAAGACATCGGGTGGTGAAATAGATCTTGCGACTTCGGATAATTTCATGACTCAATTCGAAGGAACCCGTGATAATCTCAGAGCCGGCAAGATAGCAAGCGCCGCCGGTACAGGTACCGAAAATGTCCTCGACGAGGAGATCGGCGGGGATATAATGGCATCTGGAGGCGGTGGAGGTAACAAAATATCTGAACTGGGTAAAGCATTTACGAATTATGAAGCACAGATCACACGAGATAGCCTTGCACTCACCCCAATGCCCTTGCAGGCGCCCTTCCAGAGAAGATCAGGAAAATCAGAGATGAGGTGACCGGCGCATTAACGACGATTGACGATTTCAATGATCAGGCCATAGTGAAATTCACGGAAGTCAGTTCCAATCTCAGTAACCTGTGTTATGCTGTTAGGAACGCCGCTGCAGACGGTAAAGATAGTGCGAAAACAAAACTTATTCTCCTGAAAGAAACATACTTCGCAGAGTCCACAAGTGCCCAAAACAGCATTAACAAAATCCACAGTGACCTCAGTGAGCTGCAAAAAAAGCTGGAAAGCGGTCCCATCAAGGAGGCCAAAAGATATCTTTCGCACGTAGATCACTCGACTACTGCAACAATCAACCTGCTGGGAAACCATGTCAAACGTGAAATAGAAACAGCGCAGGAAGCTCTTACTACCCATGCGACAAGGCAGTACGTTAACGCCTTGAAAACTCTGCTCACCGAGTTCGCCGAAAAGGCAGAGAAGGTATTGGAAGGATTGCCGGACGAAATAGAGAAAGATTTGAAAATCGGCTACAAGGGCTTTATGGCAAAATTAGGAGAGCAGTTTGTTAAGAAGGTGGAACAAATTAAGACTATTGAAGTAACATCCTCTTCTCCAGATAATTCTCCACTGAAGCGGGCCGCCGAAAAATTGAAAGAGGCATTGACATCATTTTCCGGAGTGTTACAAAATCAATCCGATTTCATGTCCGACTCCAAGGTATCAAAGCCTTCGAACGACGCACTTACCAAATTACTCACTGGCCTCATAGATTCACAGCACTTTAATCACGACTTCAGTGTTAATTTAGACGCACTCAAAAAATCACTTGCTCAATGTGTTCCTCATAAATTCGGCGCATCTTCGACTTTCATGTTGCAGAGCCTCAAGGATGGCTTTAACAGACTGACCAAAGAGCTGGGCAACGCATATGTCAACACGTATTCCGGAAAGCCGTACAACGACGCCGATGATTCCAAGTATGCCAAGACCTGTCTCACATCCTTTTCCATCCTGAACAAGAACTTCAGTGAGCTGAGGAAACGGTGTGGCAAGGTGTCAACATATGACGGCTTGAAGGATTTGCAGATTAGCAAATACACAGCACTCGGAACATTTATGGCCGATGAAGGCTACGAGGTCTCGGACCCAGGGAGCAGAACGGTGAATTGCAGGACAAGAAAACCATGACAGGTGAGCACATTAGGAACCTCATTATCGGTTCTGCAGATAAACACATCTATACGAGCATGGACTATTCTCGAGATGGCGGAGCACTTAAAACACTTCTGGAGCTGCTCGAAACCTTTTTCCGTCTTCACCATCTTAATCCACCGCCGAATCCCAGGGCACCTTGCAGCGTATATGAGACTCTCATGTGGTTCTCTGGCCTCCCGTATAATTCCGTATATATTGATTTGACGGCCGACGGTTTTAGTAGCCTATTCGATAAGACTGAGAAGCCAGCCTCCACTGACACTCACGATAGCTTCATCTCCTACGAAGACCTCGACGAAGTGTCTTTGGAGGCGTACCCAGAACCGATCACAGTTGGAAATCTATCAGACAACCTGACGGAAGTATGCCACTATTCTCATGACCTCCTCACCACTATAATGGGCCACGGCCACGCAGGTGGCGTGTATGCCTGTGACTATAATGTCAACCCACACGGTTTAATATATCCCCAAAATATGAACACGTTAATTTGCCTACTATTTGATTTACTAAAACGCCTGCACTACCAACTGTACCTACTATATCAGCAATGCTCCTATGAGAACTCTTTGGGAGGCTGGCGTGAGTGCTGGTACGGTTGTGGCATCGGAGGATCAAACTGGAAGTGCAACAATCTCCAATGCCCTAACCAAGCGGGCAACCAAAACGCTGACCAAATGCATAAGCAAACATGTAACCAAAACCCTAACCAAAAGTGCAACCAATATCCTAAGTGCGGCATTAAATCACCGCTGCAATCTTTCTTAGAAGATGGATTACAGGGGTTCTTGCCTCATGATGTGTCATCGAACAGAGGCCAAATTAAATGTTCACTCGGCAACCACTATGGCATACCATGTAGGATACCTATGGGCTTCGCCGATATCGACACAGTGGCGTCACGCAGGCAGACGGGCGAGAGCCTTAACAACATCCTCGCTGAGATATGTGGCGCTTCATCGTCCCCCTCTCAGTAAACTTTGTGCCCAGCTGAACTGTCTCCTCCCAAGCGGCCCCAAAACGCTCGGTGACATGTTTGGTTTCTATTTTAATTTCCTCAGTGGGTGGAACGACATTAGTGATGAAGATCGTCAGAAGCATCAGAGACGTGCATTTGATGATGCCGTTAACAAGGCGTATTTCAACGAACGCTATGACGATCTGGACATTACCGCAATGTTCAAAAACAGCAATCATAATCCTAAGCCCACGGAACAAAGTAGTACTCACCTCACCGGTGATCTTTATGCACTCGTAAAATGCAATGGTACTACCCCGTCGACTCCATCACACCCCTGTGGCCCATATCTAAAGCCACATTGTGTCGATATATGCGGTATATTTTCCGCGAAGAATGCCAACAAATATTTATCATGGATTGTGTTTATCACCGAAACATTCTACGATTTGTTAAAGAAATTATATGATGAGTGCAGTAATACTTGTGGCGGTGACAAGCCAAAGTGCCGGGTTAGCAAATGCATAGAAGCTTGCGATGCCAAGAAATTGCCGATGTCTCCAAACGTAACGCATCATGAATCATGTGACTGTGTCGCCAACTGCAAGTATATACATCCAATAATATGCAAGTATGGGTTTGTACATGGTGACGTAGTGAGACTTTCCGACAACTCAAGTAAGCGAACGTGCAAAGATTTCTGCTCATCGTTGAAAATTGTTATAAAGAAACAGGGCGTTTTATATAACATTATAAACAAAATCATTCCCCAATTCCTATGGGAAATACGAAAGAAATTCTCCTACCTCTTGCTAGCCCTCTGGTCGCTGTCGCTCCTCTACCTGCTGCACATCGCCGTCGTCCGCCTCGACGTCCTGAGGATACGCTCCCACCTGCGCTCGCCCTCAAGCCACCGCATCGCCGCACAGTCGCTGCTCGCCGCCGCACGCGTCAGGGCACTCGCCAGCGTCAAGTACTTCTCACCATAATCGTGCCTTCACCCACATACTCAACCACCCACCCACTCAACCACTCAACCACTCACCCAACCACTCACCCACACACCCACCCACTCAACCACTCACCCACTCACCCACTCACCCAACCACTCACTCACCCACTCACTCACCCACTCAACCACTCACCCACTCAACCACTCACTCACCCACCCACTCACCTAATCACCCACTCAACCACTCACCCACCTACTCACCCACCCACTCACTCAACCACTCACCCACCTACTCACCCACTCACATACTCACTCACTCAACCACACACTCACCCAACCACCCACCCACTCACTCACTCACCTACTTACTCACTCACTCACCCACTCAACCACTCAACCACATACTCACCCACCCACTCAACCACCCACTCACTCACTCACTCAACCACTCACTCACATACTCAACCACTCAACCACTCACTCACCCACTTACCCAACCACCCAACCACTCAACCACTCAACCACTCAACCACTCACCTAATCACCCACTCAACCACCTCCGCTTTCACTGGTCGCTTCGCTCCCTGCCTTCCCTCCTCCCTCACCTCCTCCGTCGGCGTCCTTCACCCAAATCCTCACATTCCGCCTTCCCCCTCCACCTCCGAAACCGCCTTGCCTCAACCCATCTTCCTCCTTCGTCGCCCTCTTTCGCCCCTCCACCTCCCTCGCCCTGTCCACCCACCTCCCTCACTGCCTCCCTGACCTAAAATCGCCTTTCCCCAAATTCCCCCAAATCGCCCTGAAAATGTCACTAATTATCATCTTTTTACTTCCTTTAACCCTCCCTTAATCCACCTTCAATCCCACTACAATGACCATTATAATGAAGTTCATTACCTTACTGACGATGCCAAAAAGAAAGCATTGAAGGATATAAATGAGCGACAGATCAATCTTGAAGATCTTAAAAATAAGCTTAATATATTCACTGTGGGAGACCAATCTAAAGAATGTGAAAAGCTGCTAGAAAATCTCACAGACGGTTTAGAGAGATTCTTGGGATACGATAAAGAGTCCAAAGGCTACGATGGCTCCGGCATCGTGTACTCCGACCTTGACAGGCTCTGCGACGGGGTGATGTCTTTCCTTCATGGTGTTTTAGATAACATTCAGCCTAAATTAGGCTTACATAAAAATAGAATTGATAAAGCAATTGAGTCTCTTAATCTTCATAAACACTCTGGTAAAGAAGGTTTTAATGCTGCGATTGGCGCAGTGGTGTTGGGGGTGAGGCAGTATAATGAGGGTGTTGTAAACTCTAATAATCTTGTGAAGAAGCCTATTGAAGCATTGATGCAGAAGATGAAGATTCTCAATGAACAGGTAAGTAACTTAAATACAATTAATGTTGCTGCAGGTGAAATTGACAAGGCCGTGAGGGACGTGAACCAGAAGGTGGAGGACACTACAGGCTATGCCAAGACGTTTTCCAAAGGCATTGCAAGCGCTAAAGAAGACATTAAGGATTTAAATGACGACTTGGAATTGAAGGTTAAGAATGCTAAAGACAATATTTTCCATGAGGTTACGAGGCTTCATGAAATTCACAAGCAGCAGAAAGAGGATCTGACAGCTGTGACCGAGAACGTTAAAAATAAGCTTAATGATGCTAGAGAGCAGATTGATTCGCAGATCAGTCAACAGGTTACTGCGCTTGTTGAGAAGTTGAAGAAATTGGTTGCAGAACTTTTGACTAAGCTTAAGGAGCTTGACAAGTGGCTGAAGCAGTATGTCACCGACTTAGAAACTCGAATGAAGGAAGCAGAAGAAATCGTTAAGGCAGTGGGAGAGAAAGTGGAAAAAATATTGGAAGAGGTTGATAAGAATGGTAAACATAAGATAGCGCTTAAAGAAGCAGCGAACATGATTAGGCAGAAGGCTTTTTCGCTTAAGGAGGCAGGAGAGGCGGCTAAGAAGAAGGCTCAAGAGGAACTGAAGACGGCGTTAGGGGCTGTTATAAAAATGAACACTGCGCTTAGAACGGATTTGGATGACGTGAATAAGAGAATTAATCAGGGGATCAGAGAGTATGTTACGAAGCTGGGAGAGGCGTTGCATAAGGGTATGACAGTAGCGAAATATGATGTTTGGGATACGACAACTACGCCGGGCGTTAATGCATTGCACAATGCCGTGACGAGAACATATAAAGATAAGTTGGGAGCGTTCGGTGATAAGCTTCAACAGGTTCTTCAGGAGGCCATGAAAACGGACGAGCAAGGAAAGCCCAACGACCTTGGAAAATATATTGAATGGTTCTTGCATGATCTTAATAAGGCAAAAGCAAAATTGGTTGACTTGAAGGGGCCATCTATTCCTCAAGCAGAAGATATCGTCAAAGAACTCAACGCCTACCTTATGAAGCCCGTTGAAGAGCAGTTGCCGACTCGAGGAGTAGACGTTGACATAACGAAGAGACCGGAAATTTTGAGGGCTTATAAAACACACGTTAACCAAGAGAACCTTTTGTCCAGTAGCCCAGAACAGCTAAAAGGAGAGCTGCCAGATGCCATCAAGAAAATTGAAACAAAGGTGACCGAAGCTTTAACAAATATCCAAACTCTCGATGCTCAAGCAAAACAACAGTTGGATCACGTTAATGAGCATCTCGACAGTTTATGCCAAGCAATCACAACATTTGCAGAAACCGGCGACGATAGCGCTAAAAACAAAATAACTGAATTGAAAAGAAAAATTGGCATCACTCTAAAGGGTGAGCAGACAAGCTTCCAAAAAGTTCGTGATAACCTCAATCAGCTTAGAGAAGATAATCTGAGGAAGGCAATAAACGACGCCGAAAACTTTGCTGTTGAAGCCGAGGAGGAAAGGAAGAAAACAATTCAAGAACTGAATACACATGTACAAGATACACTTGAATCCGCCAAATCCACCATCACCAACGACGTAAAATCCCGGTACGTCAAATTCGTCAAATCGCAGCTCACAAAGTTCGCTGACAAGGTCATCAAGGAACTCGGAACACTCCCAAAAGAAATTACCGACGACGCTAAATTGAAATTTAAAGGCTTCATGGGAGTGTTCCAACAGAAATTGACGGACAGTCAATTGCCTACAAATTTGGATGGCAACGCAAAATTAGAGACACTGTCCAGCAGGGCAAAAACATTCTTCACTGAGCTGCTCAAGACGCTGAACATGCGGCCTCAAATCATGGACTCTAATAACCTCTCGAAGCTGCGAAGCAAACTAGACACACTTTTCACTGACCTCACCAAATACAACACAAAATTCGTTAATGACTTATCCGCACTTAACACTTTACTCACCGATATGCATCCCGATTCGTACTCCCACCAGAACAACCCGCTGCTTCAGTTCCTCAAAGGAGGCATAACAAATATGCACAGTGAGTTAGATAAGGCGTACGTCAGCGTGTATGACAGCGCAAGAGCGATCGAGTGGGACAGAAAGGACAATCCCGAAACAACGTACTGCGCCAAAGCGTTTCTGACCACAGTTCCCATCCTCACAGATCTAATGGATATAAACCAATCGTGCATGAACAGCGAATGGTGTCGAAAATCAGTTTTCAGTTCCGAAAACAAAGGTCCCGTTGCAAAATATTTGAAACATTATGGCTACGATATTCCAACATCCTCCGACAAAGCAGATGGCCACTTGAGACGTGACATCACCGGTATAATTATCGGTACACTTCTGAATAATAATAACAATAACAGTAGACTTTTTACACACCTCGGCAAAAACGATGGCCTTATACAGCAACTTTACGAATATCTCCATCTTTACTACGAGGTCTCTCACCTATACACTACCTCCAAGAGACATCCCTCTTCAGTATACGAAATGTTGACGTGGCTTACCGGCCTACCACACAATCCAGTGTACCAAGATTTATCGTTCGACGGTTTCAGTAGCCTCTTCGATAAGCCGAAGAACACAGCATCGGAAGGCGACATCGGCGTTACAGATCTCAGTGCCCTTCATCTAAAAGCGTCCCCGGCGACATTCACAGCGCAGGACGTCTCCAACGCGCTTACAGCAGTATGTTCCAAAGCCGAAGACGTACTGATTTCAATTCTCGGTCACGGCCATGCTGACGGCATATATGCCGTTGAGTTCTCGAACAACTCACTCAATTTGTCGTATCCGTCTTCTCCATCACAGTGCTTAGTTTTTCTTGCAGACCTACTATATAGATTGTATCAGCAGCTTATTTTCCTATACCAACAGTGTAAGCATGGTCAGTTTTGTAGTGGGTGGAATAAGTGTTGGTATGGTCAGGGAATTGCCGGCTCATCGTGGAGTTGTAATACTCTACAATGCCCCAACCAAACAGGTGACCAAAACGCTGACCAAAAAGGTAACCAAAAGCACAACCAAACGTGTGACCAAAAGTGCAAGCAACATAGTGACTGCGGTATTAAATCGCCGCTTCAGTCTTTCCTAGAAGACGGCTTGGTAGGCTTCCTTCCACATCAGCTTACAAAATTAGGCTGTGGAGTGGCATGTTCACTTGGTAGTCACAGAGGTCAACCGTGTATTACACCGATGGGCTTCCCAGATCTCAGTGCGATGGCCTCTCACAGGCAGACGGGCAAGTATCTAGAGGAGGTGTTGTACGAATTTTGTGGCAAGCCAGACAAACCACTTACACAACTCTGCAGTTATATAACATGTATATTACAACGCACTCCGCAGACACTCGGTGACCTGTTCGCTTTTTACTTTAATTTCCTTGACAAGTGGAACTCTAACGACGGCCATAAGCGTCATGCGTTTGTTAATGCCGTCCAAAGTGCGAACTTTGGGGATGCGAAAACAACCCTCGAAATCGGTTCCATGTTCGGCAGCAGTGACCACTCTGGACGGACGCATCGCAATGCAAACCTTCACTCGCTTGTTAAGTGCGAAGCTAACAAGGGTGACGCTTCCCTTCCATGCGGTACATACCTTAAGCCAATCTGCCGTGACATTTGGAACACGTTCTCCAGTAAGAACTCCGGTAAATATCTCTCATGGATCGTTTACCTCAGTGAAACGTTCTATGACCTGTTGAAAAAATTGTATGACGACTGCTGTGCAACGTGCGACAAGAAGGGCACACGGTGTTATGAAAAATGCTGTACAGAGAAATGTCCAGTTAAATACACGGATAAGAATGGGCAATCTACCACACCGTCAATAAGAGACACGCATACTCCAGACTGTAGTTCCATTGTAAAATGTCCACACACTCTTCGAACGTTGTCTAAATATGGTTTCTATTTCGGAAGCTCATGGCGGATGAGCGGTGAGCGTGGCGAGAAGACCAAGCGCACATGTAGGGATCTATGCAGAGCGCTGGACAGAGTGCTGAGTAAAAAGAAAGAAGACGGCGCGGCGCTAGCTAAAGTAATCTACGAGACAATTCCTGCATTCCTCCTCGCCATCAGATGGCCATTTATGTTGACATTATTAGCCCTCTGGTCGCTGTCGCTCCTGTACCTGCTGCACATCACCGTCGTCCGCCTCGACGTCCTGAGGATACGCTCCCACTTAAAATCACCCTCAAGCCACCGCATCGCCGCGCAGTCCCTCCTCGCCGTTGCAAAGGTTGGGAAAATAGTCAATGTCAAGTACTTCTCACCGTAATCGTGCCTTCACGTGTGATCTGTGTATCACCCAGACACCCACCAACTCACTCACCCACCCACTCAACCACTCAACCACCCACTCACTCAACCACTCACCCACTCACATACTCACATACTCAACCACTCAACCACGTAAACACCCTCTCACATACTCACTCACCCAACCACTCACCCACTCAACCACCCAGTCAACCACTCACCCGCTCACCTCCCTCTTTCACTGGTCGCTTCGCTCCCTGCCTTCACCCCTCCCTCACCTCCTCCGTCGGCGTCCTTCGCCCAAAACCTCATTTTCCGCTTTCCCCCTCCACCTCCTAAATCGCCTTACTTTCACCCATCTTTCCCCTTCATCGCCCTCTTTCGCCCCTTCACCTCCCTCACCCTGTCCACCCACCTCCCTCACTGCCTCCTTGACCTAAAATCGCCTTTCTCCAAATTCCCCCAAATCGCCCTGAAAATTACCCTAATAATCCCCCTTTTACTCCTTTTAACTCCCCCCTATTCCACCTTTAATCCAAGTATGATAACCATTATAATGAAGTTCATTACCTTACAGAGGATGCCAGAAAGAAAGCTTTGAAGGATATTACTGACAGGCAGACTACGCTTAATGAGCTTAAAGAAAAACTTAAAGATTTTATTGGCGATGAAAATTGTAAAAACCTATTAACAAATCTCACTGAAGGCTTAGAAAAATTCCTTGGTTACGACAAAACGTCCAAAGGCTACGACGGCACCGGCATCGTGTACTCGGACCTTGACAGGCTGTGCGACGGGGTGATGGCGTTCTTGCATTCCGTGCTTAAAAATGTCTGTGATAAACAGCCTTACAAAGTAGGAAAAGAGAAGTTTTTTACTGAAGTTGTAAGTGTTCTTGAGAAGAAATTATGTTCAGGTCATGAGGGTTTTAAGGATGTCATTGCCCAGGTGGCCACGGGTGTCGGGGGGTATAATAGGGAGGTGGAGAGGTCTAATAATCTTGTCAAGGGGAAGATTGAAGAATTACAAGGCTTCGTGAAGGACGAAAAAAAAGGTAAGTGGCTTGATAGGGTTAACGGTCTGCAGGCGGAGAGTGTTGGTAGAGATCCGAATCCCGACAAAGAGGATCCCGAGGTCTCCAAGGCCAAGGAGCTGGTGCAGGAGTGTGAGCAAAAAAGTGACGCTTTCAATAGGAGTTTTGATAATAGAATACCAAACGCATGGAACAAAGGTTCCAAAATTGAACGCAAGCAAGAATTCAAAGACTTGAATCCCGCATTACGTGACAAAATCGAGAATGCGAAGAAAAACATTTCGTATGAGACTGACAGGCTTAGGACTTTGACCAAGAAGGAAAATGAGAAGTTGTATGAGATGACTACGCAAATTAAGAGTACGCTTGAAGTTCTAAAGAGATGCGTTAATAGGGAAATCGACACGAAAGTAAGAGAGCTTGTGAAGAAGATAAATGAGAAAGTCACGCTTATTTTGGCAGACCTTAAGGAGATTAATGAGACGCTGTATAAGTATGTCGAGCAGTTGCGGAAGTGGATAAATGATGCGGATGGAATTGTAGATGGTGCCATTAAGGAGGCGAGGAAAATCGCGGATAAGGGTCTCGCATGGCCAACAGATGATCAGCTTAAGGGTAAAGTTGATGACTTAAGAAATAAGGGTGTGGAGATATACGGAAAGTTTGAGAGTGCTAAAAATCAAGTTGCGCAATTGGTTCAAGCAGCGCAGGATAAAGTAAGGCTTTTGGAAGAGGCGGTTCGGTATGATTTGAATCATGTGAAAACGCAGCTGCTGACCAAGCTTGCGGAATACGTTCAGGGGTATGTCACGGAAGTGCAAAAGAGGGTGAATGAGATCATTGCTGGTGAGAGCAGTAAAAGCGATGGTCTGAAGGGTATTAAAGAGAAGATAGTGCAGAAATATGCGGAGGGGTTTCAGAGTGACAGTGCCTTTGAGGCCAAAGTAAAGGAGTGGTTGGAAAATATTTTGAAGGAGAATAAGATGGTTAAAAAAGAGATTGTTGGGTATTTAAAACATGGCCAGAACCAGAGTAGGCTTAATAAGAAATACAATGAGAGCAACGATGTAAATTATGAGGAGGCCAGCAAAAAGATCGCAGACATAATTATCGACCAGATGAAGAAAAAGTTTGATAGTGGCAAAATATGGGCAGCTCCAAACAAAAGTCCAGATGGTCCCACAGACTGCATAAAATATAATTTGGAATATATTAAGGGCGTTTGTGATAAATTCGCCGAGAGTCTTAATGGAAAACTTGAAGAAGATGGTATTTATAAAGGTGAGCATGTTATTGACAAAATATCCGCTGCGATTAAGGAATCTGGAGACGACAGCAAGGCGTTGTTTCATAAACCTCCCGATGACAACTATACTTTCACATTTGCCGTCCGTAATACCCTCGCCGCCCTCTCTTCCACCGCCAAACGCTTCGCCGACGAACTCAACAAATTCGCCCTCACCAAAGGGAAGCCCAGCGTCGGAGACAGCAACACCAATCTCGCCGCCAACCTGGACGCCGCGCTCAAAGTGGCTACCGATATGGACACTGCTTTTGAGAAGGCGCTTGAAAGACCAGAGCCCGGTTCCACCTCAAATACACACAAAATATTCGACCCCAACTCTGCTGACCTCGAAGCCAACATCCAAAAGACTATCAGCGAGGCACTGGATAAGCAGATTGGGCCGACTGGTGACGGTGGTGATGACATGGGTAAAATAAAGACACTTGAAAAGCTTACAACATCGTTCACTAAACCGAGCGGCAGAACCAGTAAGAAAGAAGAGCTCACCACCGCCATCAACGAAATCTCTTCCCAGACGGACGAAGCGTTCCTAGCTGCGAACACAGCCACAGGTAATGCAGTGAAATTCGACACATTGTCCAAAGAGATCAAAGAGAAGCTCACTAAGATATTGAATGCCTTCGCTGCCAAAGGTAAAGAAGTCAAAGACGCTTTGCAAAAGTTTAAAGTCGACAACATCGGCAAGAAAATGCAAGGCGTCACAGTTAAGGATGACACGCTGCAAAAACTTCACGACGATCTCCTCGAACTGCAGAGCGTTACATTGGACAAAGTCATAAAAGCAACCACAGAATTGATGAAAGTTCAAGTCCCTAAATTCCGAGAAGCTTGCATCAACACTCTCCAAGGACACGTCGACCAACAGGTAGAAGATGCCATCACAAAACTCACCACCCTGGCCAACAAAAATTACGTGACGTCAGTCAAGGAGATGTTGCAAGCATTTGCTAGCAGAGTTCAAAAGATACTGCAGCCTCTGCCAACAGCCATCGACACCGACCGAAAGGAGGGCTTTAAGGGTTTTATGAGAACCTTTGAAGGCAAAATTACCGATAATGCAACGACTGACGAAAACATTAAAAAGCTCAAAGATCTTGCAGATCAGCAAGCTGACTCAGCTGAGCAGAAAGCAAAACTCTTCAAAACTTTATCTGCAGAATTCCAAAAATGGTACAATCACATCAACACGTATATCCTCGGTGAAACTAAAAGGGAGCACGGAGAAAATATGCAAAACAGAAATCCCCCAGTAGACGGCGAAAGCAATCCACATCCCTGTGTAGAGCACCTCGGCACTATGAAAAATAAGTTAGACACTTTACTTAATCATCTTAGTGCGCTTGACAATCCGAATAGAAAATACATTTTTGACACCACCTTCCAAGAACATCTCTCCGCCCTCCACGCCCTGCTCACAACAGTCCGCCCCGATTCGTACTCCGCCCCCAGCAATCCCCTGCTCGACCTTCTCACAAGAGGCCTGACAGGGATGTACGCTGAACTCGAAAAGGCGTACATCTCGACGTATGACAGTCAGCCGTGGCAGGCGGAAGAGGGAGAGAAGTATGCGAAGGTGTGCTTGAGTATAATGGACGGGATGCAAAAACATCTAGGTGATTTGAGTAGAGAAAGTAATTCAAATAATAACAACCAGATTAATTTATCGAACGGCCTAGGAAATGCCTTCTTCGACCGAGGCTTCAAGGTGGCCACCGCCAAGGACAAGCAGGACGGTGAATTAAAAAATGATATCAATATGCAAGGCAACAAAATTCGCGACTTATGTTATAATAAAATTATCGTCTCGACGAGTCCGACCAAAGAGTTCTTGAAAATATATTTCCCAGGTTTGAAAGACAATGTGAACCTTAAAGATATATTAGACGTCTTATACACTATGCTTGTTAGGTACCGAGAAGTCCGCCACCTACGCCATATCCCCGGCGCCAAGCCTCCGACAACAGTCTGCCAGATGCTACAGTGGCTTGCTGGTCTTTCGTATAATCGTATTTATACCAAATTGGAGGGTAAGTTCGCAGAATTTTTTGATAACAAAGAAAAGGATAAATCAGCGAAAATACCAATAGAAGTGGCAATGCCTTCAAGGAGAAGCGAGAAGATGCTGCGATCTCTCACCTTTGACGAAATGTCAGACCTATTCAACAATATAACCATCCGCCCATATCACATATTAGTTACCATCCTCGGCAACGGCCATGCCGACGGCCGTTATGCCTGTGACTTCCTAACAAACCCAGATGATTTATTTTATCCAAGTGATACAGATCAATGTTTAGATATGCTCGTAGAAATATGTCTTAGACTGAATGAACAAATCCTTTTCCTATTTAAGCAGTGCCAAAATGGCCCGGGCAGTAGTGGCTGGCGTGATTGCTTGTACGGTCGTGGAGTAGGCGGCTATGCTTGGACCTGCAACGACAAACCATGTGCCAACCAAAACTGCTCCCAAATAGCTAACCAAATGCACAACCAAACACCTAACCAAAAAACCAACCGATATTGTGGTCAACAGTGTGACCAGCATCCTAAATGCGGTTTGAAATCACCACTCCAATCGTTCCTTGAGGATGGCCTAGTAGGCTTCTTGCCGCATTCGTTCACAACTCCCGGTTGTAAACTCACGTGTACCGTGTCCAATCACAAAGGACTTCCATGTAAGACCCCTATGGGCTTTAAGGACCTAAGTCAAATGGCTTCACGAACTGGCAGTGGCCGGTGTATTAAGGATGTCCTTGATCCGTTCTGTGGTACAAGAGAGTGCTCACTGAGCCTAATTTGTTCCTATTTCATATACCTGTTGCACCGACCACCTCAAACGCTGGGAGACATGTTTGCGTTCTATTATAATATCCTTGATCACTGGTGTGATGACCATTCTAAACAAAAAGAGCACAGGCGACAAGCGTTCGATGATGCCGTTGAAAGAGCCAACTTGGGACGTCCTCATTCTGATTTGGACATCACGAAAATCTTAGGTTCTAAAATCCATAGCTCCGACAACCACCCCAAAGGTGATCTGTTCAGCCTTTTGTCTTGCGACCCTGAGACAACTCCAAGCTTCCCATGCGGATCATATTTACAGTCCATGAGCGATGACACCCGGCTGTTGTATTCTAAAGGTTACGCTGATAACTATCTGTCATGGATTGTCTACATAACAGAGACATTTTACGAATTACTTAAGCAGTTGTATTCCGAGTGTTGTACGAAGTGCAATACGCAGGGCACCAGATGCCACGACAAGAGCTGTGTTGAGGGTTGTAAAGTAAAATCCGCTTACCAATCTGATGGACCCTCCAAGCAACTCACTGGCCAAAAGCATGAGGACAAATGTCATTCCATTGTAACCTGCCGAGACACTCACCCGACACTTTATACTTACGGCTTCACCTTCGGAAGCCCATGGAACCTAAGTGGCAAAGGCAGTGATCCGAATCAAAAAAGAACGTGCCAAGACCTCTGCCAGGCATTGGAAAAAGTGTGTCACGGCCGATCGGTACTTGCCGACCTGGTCATTAACAAAATTCCAGCATTCTTGTGGGAGATAAGATACAAATTCTTCTATACCCTCCTCGCCCTCTGGTCGCTCTCGCTCCTGTACCTGCTGCATATCGCCGTCGTCCGCCTCGACGTCCTGAGGATACGCTACCACCTGAGATCACCCGCAAGCCACCGCATCGCCGCCCAGTCCCTCCTCGCCGCCGCACGCGTCAGGGCACTCCCCAACGTCAAGTACTTCTCACCGTAATCGTGCCTTCACGTGTGATCTGTGCATCACTCACCCACCCACCAACTCACCCACTCAACCACCCACTCAACCACCCACTCACTCACCCACTCACCCACTCACACACTCACACACTCACTCAACCACTCACTCAACCACTCAACCACTCACTCAACCACCCACTCAACCACTCACTCACTCACCCACTCACTCACTCACTCAACCACCCACTCAACCACTCACCCACCCACTCAACCACTCACCCACCCACCTTATCACCCACTCAACCACTCACCCACTCAACCACTCACCCACTCACCCACTCAATCACTCAACCACTCACTCATCTCCCTCCTTCACTGGTCGCTTCGCTCCCTGCCACCTTCCTCCCTCCCCTCCTCCGTCGGCGTCCTTCACCCAAAATCCTCATTTTCCACCTTCCCCCTCCACCCCTAAAACCGCCTTATCCCAACCCATCTTCCTCCTCCATCGCCCTCTCTCGCCCCTTCACTTCCCTCACCCTGTCCACCCACCTCCCTCACTCCCTCGCTGCCTCCTTGACCTAAAATCGCCTTTTCCCAAACTCCCCCAAATCGCCCTGAAAATGTGTCTAAAATAATCTTTCAACAACATTATTAAATAACCTCTGCACAGGCCTCGAAAAATTTCTCGGCTACCATGATGGTAATTACACCGGAGAAGGAATTGTGTACTCTGACCTTGACAGGCTGTGCGACGGGGTGATGTCTTTCCTTCATGGTGTTCTTGAGAGTGTCAAGGAGGATGATAACGTTACGAAATACAATGAATACATTAAATTAAACGGTGACAATGATTTACATACTGTCCTTCAACATCTCCAATCTTCCATTGGCCAGGGACGCAGTGTATTTGGTGCGCAGGTTGAAAAGGTAAGTGGATGGCTTCAGAAATATTGGACGCAGGTGAATTCATTATCTACTGGAGTGACGCACGAATTAGGTCAGTTGAATGATATGTATATACATAATGAAATTAATTCTGTTTCAGGTACCGCGAGCAAGGATCTGACTACGCAGTTGGAAGAGTGGAAGAAGACGCTTGGCAAGATTTCCACTGAGCTCACAAACATAGAAACCTATAACATTAATATACTAGATCGTTCACTTAAATCACGATTAATGCATGAAATAAAACCGGTTCAGAAATCGGTCGAGGTGCTAGCAGACGCAGCCAATGATGCGACCTTCGGGGAGCAAGTTAACATGGTTGATGAGACGTTGAAAATTCAGCTAGCAAACGTTGAACAAGATATTAGAGACAAATCAGTGGACTGTCAACGTATGCTGAAGAATGCATTTTGGATGGTACTGGGACGAATTGATATTTTGAGTGAGCAACAAAGAAAGGAGTTTAAGGATATCCTAAGTGCCGTTGACTTTTGCAAAATCCACATGACGGAATTTGACTGGCATTATAAAGCACATGTGCTCGGGAAAATTGATGAGATAAGAAATGAAGTTTCGTTTGTTTACGCAGATTTATTCAGCAGAAAGGTGCAGCTTGTAGATTTGGTTCAAAAGGCGCAGGCGGAGTTTGGGACTTTGAAAGAGAAGGTTGACGGAAGCGATAAAAGCTCACCGCCAAGTGCAGGTGTAATAGCGAATTGGGATGGGCTTAAAGTGCATATTAATCAAATTGTTGGAGGTTTGACGGCAACTAATGACATAAGGGCTGGAACGCTTAAAGATATCGTAAACGGCGTAATTGAGTACGCAACAGGGTTTGAAAAGGATGCTTTTACTGAGGACGTTTTGAAACAATGGATTGGGGAAATGGTGAAGGAAAGTGATACCGTAGTGAGTAATAAAATGTATGTTTATTATAATATGTATAGAGGTCAGCTGAAGGAATATAATGGTAAGACAGGCGCTGATGCTGTGAAGGAAGCCATTAAAGATAAACTTCCAGGTGTTATTAACACCGAAATTATAATGGCGGCACAAACAATCCATCTTAAAGATGCAACTGTGGAAAACATCGCTGAGAATTTCCAAAAATTCGCGAATCAAATTGAAAGTGAACTTCCGCAAGAAAGCAATTCATCCATTAGCAAGGCAGTACAGGCCATTGAAGCTGTGCTAAAAAGTGGTGATCAAGCAACAAGAACCGATACGTATCTCACGGAGACCATTAAAGCCATTCTCAAATCTTTTGCGAATAGGTTTAAGCAATACGCTGCCGAACTTAAGAGATTCGTCACCGTGTCCAAACTCCACCCAAATCTGGAGGAGGCAATTAAGAAAGTCAACGAAATCGGACAAGAATTTGAAAACAATAAGGGAAAGTACGGACAATATATTACTGCAGCGTTGACAATAGTGAAACAAAAAATTAACGCGCTCGATGAAATAGTGAAGGAGTCAGACGGTACGCTTACAAATGCTGTCAACGAGCTGGACACCGTCATTGGTGAAATTAAAAAGCTTATAAAGGAAAGCGAGAGCAAAACCGATGATGGCGAAATAAACAAAAGGAAGAAAGATGTCGAAAAGAAAATGGAAGACCTGAAAGGGCAGCTCAACAGCAGAATCAAGGATGTCGAGTTAAAAGTTGACAACTCCAATAGCATTATAGACTCGGCCATTCAAGCCGTCAAACAATCCCTGCAGGATGCTCATGGAAATTCCAACGATGCCGTAGAAACTCTCAAAAATAGCCTGCTTGCAAGAGCCGGTGACGCATTCAGAAGGGTTAGGGATGAAATCCAAAAATTATTTGCCGACGGCCATAAGGCTGACTTAACAGCATTGCAAAAATTAGTCACAAAACAAACAACCGAAATTAAGAACATCATACATGAGGATGAGATGACCGGAATAAAAGGCCTATTAAAAAGCGCAAATGGTATGCTGTTTGGTATAAATGGAGAGGGCATTCTAAAATTCCGCCAGCCAAAAACTACATTACTTGATGCCCTTAAAACTGCCGTGCCTACGGAGGCTGTGACAGATAAGAATTATGCAACAAAATTCTCGGAATCTTCGGACGCATTAAAATCATATTTAGACCAATTATTGCAGTATACTGAACTCCAAGTTAAGTTCGAAGGGGATCATAGATCCCCTACCAAGGAGTCCCAGTTGGTGTCGAGCATTAAGACCAGACTGGACACTTTACTTGACTACCTAATTAAAATTACTAATGAAAAAGATAAAGAAAGAAAATATGCTTTTGACCACAAATCCACCAGATACCTTACCGAGTTAAATGATTCCATCTCCGCCCTCTCCCCCTCTTCATTCCACGGCTTCCACAACCCGCTGCTCCTCGACGCCCTCAAGGCCGGCATGGACAAATTCACAAAGGAGCTCGGACACGCGTACGTCAACGCTTATAGCGGTCAAAAACGTACAGATGACTGGGTGAAAGAGGAAACAAAAATGGTGGACGATCAACCACAAAAAATTACAGTCCTTTCCACCGAGGGCCGCAACTGCGCCAAGGTCTGCCTGACCATACTGGAGAGAGTGTATGAGGAATTGGAAACTTTGAAAGAAAAATGTAATACTACATATGGCCCTTGGAAACATAATAAAATATGCGAAACAGACGGAAATAAGACCAATAAACTCGGACGTTTTTTCAAGAATCGTGGCTTCACCATTCCCAGTGGCGACGGTTCCAAGCAAGATGGCCAGTTGAGATGTTCCGACAAGATGAAAGGTGGGCATATTTGTCAAAAGCTTGATGAAGAAATATCTAACGCCAAGAGTGATGAACACCTTAAAGCGTGCACATCAACCGATGCGACTAAAATTAATGTTATGGGACAACTTCAGTGTCTCGTCAACCACCTTCATCAATATTTCCGTGTTGGTCACATCTCTTCATTCGCCGCCAGGAAATCACCGTGCTCCGTTTACGAGATGCTCACATGGTGCTGTGGCTTAAAGTTCAATGCTTCTTACCAGAAGATGCAACAGCATTACAAGACGGTCCTTGAGAAAAAGAAAGAAAAGGAAGAGAAAGAAAAGAACAAGCAGAAAACAGCGGAGCAACTGAAAGAGGAACAAGAAGAAAAAGAAAAGGATGCGTATTTGGACAGTATAATGTCCACCCTGGCTGTGCGTGGCTTGCCGTACCTATCTGGCAACTCACGTAACATCCTCACCACAATCCTTGGCACCGGAGACGAACACACAGTGTACGCCTCCGACTTTAGCAACAATTACCTTAATTTGAGTTACCCCTCTTCCGGGGAAGCTTGTTTAGATACATTGCTTGACATATTACGTAGAATGTTTCCCGTATGTAGATTCTTATATAGCCAATGTAATAGTCTGTCATCCGACTTTGGTTGGGCCGGCTGCCAGTATGGTAAGCAGGTCAAACACGCTAACTGGCAGTGCGACAAGCATATTGCTGATAAGGAATCTGACTGCGTTCCCAGGTCACCGCTTATGTCGTACTTTACCGACAGTCTTCCCGGTCACTTACCTCACCAGCTATCCTCCATCGGTTGTAGAGCTACATGTTCCACCTGCCCCAAATCCAAGCCCGGGCAGCCATGTTTAACGCCACTTGGCTTCAGAGGTTTCTCTGGAAGTACGCGCCTGGGCAAAGACCTATGTAACGTGCTGACCAAAATGCTCGATGACGCTGACCTCAGATCCCTATTCTGCCTTAAACCGAAAACGCCGGCTTCGCTCCCAGAGCATTTCGGATTTGTGCTGTCACTAGTCAGAGATTGGAATGACGGTAAAAATCCACATAAAAACTCTATCGAACATGCGTTTGAGAATTCTATAAAAAGCCAATCTATTGATCTGTATAAGAACACCGCAGAACTTACCAATGCACTGCGTGACGCATACCGTAGTAGGCATTACAATTATGCTGATAATAGTCATCGTCCTCTATATGACGATTTATCAAGTCTTTCTATGACATCGTCGTGTAGTGACCCTATTAAAAATACATTGTGCGCTCCGTATCTGTCATCGCTATCCTGCGACTCCAATTATTACCTGGCACTGAAGCATTCCAACACATACCTCTCATGGGCCATATACCTCCCTTGGACATTCTGGGATCTACTCAACAATCTGTACAATGCCTTCTGCTCTATCACTTGTGCAGATTGGGGATGCCGTGGATGTCTCAGAGGAGACAAGTGCAAGAGTGGCAAGCATGGTGTCGTTGAGGATGACAAGAAAGCAGATGCAACATGTCAGTGTGATTCTATAGTGAAATGCAGAGGCGTGGCACCGACGCTCTACCAGTATGGATTCAGCTTCGGCGAGGCGTCGACGTTGAATAGTGGTGACACAGCGAAGAAGTGTAAGGATTTCTGTAGTCAGTTGAAGAAAGTTCTCGAGTCAGAATATTTCCAGAAGCTGTTCGAGGAGTGTGATGAATTTTTGAAGCAAATCAGATGGCCTTTTATGTGTACTTTGTTAGCCCTCTGGTCGCTGTCGCTCCTCCACCTGCTGCACATCGCCGTCGTCCGCCTCGATGTCCTCCGCATCCGCTCCCACTTAAAATCACCTTCAAGCCACAGGATCGCCGCTCAGTCGCTGCTCGCAGCGGCACGCGTCAAGGCACTTGCCAACGTCAAGTACTTCTCACCATAACCGTGCCTTCACGTGTGATCTGTGTATCACTCACCCACCCACTCACCCACTCACTCACCCACTCACCCACTCAACCACCCACTCAACCACCCACTCAACCACCCACTCACCCACTCATCCACCCTCTCAACCACTCACTCACCCACTCAACCACCCACTCAACCACCTACCCACTCACCTCACTCACTCACCCACTCACCCAACCACCCACTCACTCAACCACTCACCCAATCACTCACCCACTCAACCACCCACTCACCCACTCACCTCCCTCTTTCACTGGTCGCTTCGCTCCCTGCCTTCACCCCCTTCACCCACCTCCTCCGTCGGCGTCCTTCGCCCGAAATCCTCAGTTTCCACCTTCCCCCTCCACCCCCTTCATCGCTCTCTTTCGCCCCTCCACCTCCCTCACCCTGTCCACCCACCTCCCTCACCCTGTCCACCCACCTCCCTCGCTGCCTCCTTGACCTAAAATCGCCTTTCCCCAAATTCCCCCAAATCGCCCTAAAAATGTCACTAATAATCCCCCTTTACCTCTTTTAACCCTCCCTCAATCCACCTTTAATCCAACTACAATAACCATTACAATGAAGTTCATTATCTTACAGAGGATGCTAGAAACAGAGCCTTGAAGGATATTGATGCCCGCCGTATCTCTCTTGGCACGCTTGCTGGACAGCTTTCGGGTTTAATTGGCAAAAGTGAGGAAGTTGAAAAGGCTATTAAAAATGGTTTGCAGAGTAATGTAAATCAGCTTATTAAGCGTTTACAAGCATCTTGCGGAGGTGGGAAGTGTAATGATCATCGTAGTCAAATTAATAGTCTTAATGAGAAGCTTGATAAACTTAAAAATCACCTTAATGAGGAACCAATAGCCTCTGAAAATCTTGCTGAAATCCTTACTAAGTGCAATTTAAATGGCCATAATGGTCCCTTAAATCAGCTTAATGAGGAAATTACTGAGAAAATTGAGAGCCTTAATAAAAGCATTGAAGAGCTTAAAAGGCTTAATAATGATGATAATAAAAGTAAAAATGCCTCTGAAATTGACAAGCTTAATAAGGATCTTCAGTCTCATAATGCTTCCAAGAAGTCTCTTGAGACACTGAAAGGGCTTTGTGAATATGCTGAGAAAATTGATCAAAAATCTGATAACACTAAAAACCTTTTAAATAACCTCTGTGGAGGTTTAGAAAAGTTTCTCGGCTACCAGGATGGTAATTACACCGGAGAAGGAATTGTGTACTCCGACCTTGACAGGCTGTGTGACGGGGTGATGGCGTTTTTGTGTGGAGTGCTTAGTGGAGTGAAGGATGATGATAACGTTACTACATATAATACTACACAAAATGACATTAATAATGTTATTACCACTTTACATGATAGTGTAGGTAAAGGCCGTGAGGCCTTCCGTGACGCCGTGTCTCAGGTAAGTGAGTGGTTGAAAAAACATGGTGAGCAGGTGGGGGAGAAAATCAAGAAAGTTACGACGCCGATAAATGACCTTTTAGAAGGCGACGATGGAGATAATTTCAAGAAAATTCCGTCGTTGATTAAAGACATTCAAGGGATGAAGGATCAAGATTATGACGACAAAAAAGGTGAGTTGTTTACTTGGATTAATAATGTTTCAGGTCTGACGGACAAGACTCAAGAGTCACTTAGCGCACTTGATAGCGTAGACAAACAGCTTAATAATAAGTTACATCCTCACGTTAGCTTACTGCATAATGCTGTTGAGACATTCCGTGTTAATGCCGCGTCAGACCATGAGGGTCTTAGGGCGGCTTGCCACAAAATTGATGATCAACTTACGGAGGTTAAGAACAAGGTGAATGATGAGGTACTTAAGCAGGTAGCTGCGCTTAAGAAGTCCGTGACTGAAGGTATTGATAACCTTAAAAACGAGGTAGATGGTATGATTACTAGACAAGTTTCCTACTTGACGGCCACAGTAAAGAAGTTGGAGAGTATCAGAACAAATGTCGAGACGGCGGTTGGGCATATAAATGAAAGGTTTGATGAAAACACTAGGAAGCATCAAGATGAAAATGTGCCGTGTTGTCAAAAGAAGGCACAAGGAATTTATGATAAGGCTTCGACGGAAATTAATGGATCCAAGCACCTTGGAGGTCTGTGGGCAAAGATTAAAGATGAATTAGAAAGTATTACTGATGCTATTGCGAATTCAAAAAATCAAAGAGATGGTATCCTCGATCAAATTGTCAAAGGTTTCGGCGACTATGCCGATGGTTTCAAAGTTAGTTTCGAAAAGGGTGCTGGGAAGTTGGTCGAAAGCATTGTGAAAAGTAGACCTGTTTATTGGTGGCTTGATGCTTATGTTGGTGTCAACAAGAACGGATTTGGTGGTAGTTTGGGAAAGGATGTAACACAAATCCTCCCTCAAATAACAGTAATCGTTCAGCAGAAGATTAATGATTCGCTGGAAACAATGAGAGCCATACCATCTGGAAAGCAGACTTCTGTCGACGAAATTCTGACAAAGATCATACGGTATCTCACAAGCTATGCCACTGAAGTGACAGGCAAGGATGCTGAAATAATGAAGTCGATTGAGAGTGAGCTGTCGTCTAATCCCCAATTTAAATTATCCACTTCCTCTACATCGGGATACCAGTATTACCTCGAGCAAGCTGTCCATACTACCCTCACAGCACTGCAGTCGGCAGCAAAGGGCGCGGAAAAGGATGTTGAAATATTTATTGCAAATTCCAATATTGGGAGATTGAACTCGGCTATAAAGAAGATTAGAGACGTTGCGAAAGATCTTCAACAAGCTGTTGAAGAGAGGAATAAATATATAATCAATATCCGGTCTGCTCTTTCTGAACAAGTCATCGACCCCGCTGGCGAAATTCGAGACCAGCTTCAGAGAATTATTACAGACGTTAAAGGACAGATAAAAACTTTACAAGGGATTGCTACTAGTGACAACGTGAGGACTGACAAGGACGCAAAAATGGAAACACAACCGAAAACTATTCAAGGTATGAAAAAGCAAATCGACGCAAAAATTACTGCGCTTCAATCGGGAGTGAAACGCGAACTTGACTCCCAGGTCACCAACGTGAAAGATAAAGTCCTAGAGAATGCCGCCTCCACCTGTCTAAATACTATCACAGCTAAGGTAACCGATCAAACGAATTCAGCCAAGACACAGACGAAAAATGAGTGTCTTAAACAATTTGTGTTCTCCAAGGTGGCGGAGCTTGAGAAGCTGAAAGCATTAGTTACGAAGCACAATGCTGAAATTGAAAAAATCATATTCACAGATAAAATGACGGGAATTAAGGCATTCATTAATGTTATAAGCAATCATATTGAAAAGCCTTCCCACCTCCCCGTTATGGAATTTACAGAAGCCACAGGAAACTGCAAAGAATTCTTCGATATACTGTTGAATTACGTTATAGGCCAAGTCTATCCCAAGGTTAATAACCTTGACGATGTGAAGGAAAAATTACACAACTTACTAGAACTACTTACTACCTCCAACTATTTTAATTTGACCTTCTCTAATAATTTAGATGCACTTAATAAATCACTTAGTAACCTGTCACCATCCCATTTCGCTGGCCATTCCAACCCGTTGCCGTTGGATTCAATTAAAAAGGGTCTTACTTCGTTCGCCACTCAACTCGGGTATACATATGTTTCCCGGTACTCCGAACAGACCGTCGAGTGGGAGCGCAAATCCACGCTTCCTGATTTCATGGTTTCCGATGATGGTGGCCTAACTCAAGATGCAACGAAATGCGCAAAGGTTTTCTTCACTATACTTAATACCTTACATGGCGAATTGTCTGAACTGAAATACAAATGTGAAAACGAGTGGACACGAAATCAGATTAATTTGGTTGCTACATATCAGTTTGTGAACGGCAGAAGTAAAGAGATGGCAAACCCACTTGGGGATTTTATGAAAAGATGTGGATATGACGTATCTAAAGGTCTTAATGTTTGCACATCGGAACTGGTAAATAAATCGAACATGACCGGTTCAGCAATTTCTGGGAAGCTTGAGACACCACTTAGCCTTTTAAATACAAACATCCAAATCAACGATATAGAACATAATGGCGATATAAAGGTTATGGACTTGCTTGAATACTTCCGCGAGTTACTCCGCAACTTCTACCGCGTTACGCAGGTCCGCCATATCCCCGCTGCCAAAGCACCGAACACTGTGCACCAAATGCTCGAATGGGTTTGCGGTCTACGGTACAATCCGATGCGTGATCAACTCACGACATTCTTGGGTGGGTTGTTTACCAACGCAGAAAATGGTTTGGCCGTGGATTTCCCAGCAGATATTCAAGGTCACTCTAAACATTCCATTCTATCACCTAGCAAATTAATCGGTGCACTCACCTTAACCTGTCGCCACGCCGAAAAAGTATTAAGCGCAATCCTAGGCTATGGCAACGCCGAAGGCCGATATGGATGCGATTACAACACCAACCCAGACGATCTGTCATATCCGACCAGTCCTGCCACCTGTTTCGACTGGCTCGTAGAAATATGTTCGAGACTCCATCAGCAACTTTACTTCCTATATTATCAGTGCTGTAACGGCAATAGCAGTAGCGGTTGGCTCGATTGCCATTACGGAAAAGGGGTTGGTGGCTCCGCTTGGAACTGCAATGATGAGCAATGTGCCAACCAAAAGTGTAAGCAAATATTTAAGCAAAACTGCAGGCAACACCCTAGGTGCGGCCTTAAGTCGCCGCTCCAATCGTTTTTGGAAGATGGGCTCCAGGGCTTCCTGCCTCATCCGTTCAAAAAGCCTGATTGCAAAATGAGTTGCTCAGTTGCTAATCATCGTGGCATCCCGTGCAAGACGGCAATGGGCTTTAGAAACATTAGCACTGTTGCGTCGCATACAATGAGAGGCCAGCACCTGATGAAGGCCTTGGCGGGCTTTTGCAGCAACTCGGACAAACCCCTTACAAAGCTCTGCGGTTATCTGACATGTTTATTACAGAAACCTCCGCAGACCCTTGACGAGATGCTTGCGTTCTACTACAGTTTCCTGAGTGGATGGAGTAACAGTGGTCCACACAGAAAGGGCGCATTTCAAACAGCTGTTGATAATGCTTATTTCGGTAACAACTACAAACAGCTTAACCCTGAATCTATATGCGACAGCGCTACACATAGGGATGACAACCATCCCAGTGGTGATATTTCTTCGATAATAAATTGCAATGAGAAATCATCCCCAGTCTCTCCCTGCGGTTCATACATACACCCCCTTAGCTATAATACGCGCTGCATATATTCTCAGGAACACGCTGAAAAGTACCTCTCATGGATTGTCTACCTGACCGAAACATTCTATGATTACCTCTGTAGGTTATTGTCGAAATGTGAAGAAAATTGCGGTACGAATGAATCAAAGTGCCGTATTGAAGGGTGCGCAAATGACTGCCAAAGTGTGAAATCATCGACACATTCGTCATCTTGCCGGTCAATAATTCAATGCCCTCACACCCTTCCTGCATTTTACACAGAAGGGATAGTATTTGGCAATGGTACGAAAATCGGAGGTCGACTCGGAAAGCATTTGAAACGAACATGTGGAGATTTCATCGAGCAACTGAAAAAAGTATGCGGCGGCAAATCACTAATCGCCAAGTTAATACATGAAACAATACCCGAATATATATGGACTATACGACAACCCTTCTCCTACCTCTTATTATCCCTCTGGTCGCTGTCGCTCCTGTACCTGCTGCACATCGCCGTCGTCCGCCTCGACGTCCTGAGGATACGCTCCCACCTGAGATCGCCCTCAAGCCACCGCATCGCCGCGCAGTCGCTCCTCGCCGCCGCACGCGTCAGGGCACTCGCCAACGTCAAGTACTTCTCACCGTAATCGTGCCTTCACCTGTGATCTGTGTATCACCCACTCAACCACTCACTCAACCACTCAACCACTCACTCAACCACTCAACCACCCACTCACTCACTCACCCACTCACTCAACCACCCACCCACTCACATACTCATTCAACCACCCACCCACTCACCCACCCACTCACCCACCCACCTCACTCACTCAACCACCCACCCACTCAACCACCCACCCACTCACTCACCCACTCACTCACCCACCCCCCCACTCACATACTCACTCACCTCCCCTTTCACTGGTCGCTTCGCTCCCTCCTCCCTCTCCTCCATCACCTCCTCCGTCGGCGTCCTTCACCAAAACCTCGTTTTCCGCCTTTCCCTCAACCCCTAATATCGCCTTACCTCAACCCATCTTGCTCCTTCGTCGCCCTCTCTCGCCCCTTCACCTCCCTCACCCTGTCCACCCACCTCCCTCGCTGCCTCCGTCACCTAAAATCGCCTTTCTCCAAACTCCCCCAAATCGCCCTCAAAATGTGCCATTTCATCCCCCTTTACTTCTTTTAACTACCCCTTAATCCACCTTTAATCCAACTACAATGACCATTACAATGAAGTTCATTACCTCACTGAGGATGCCAGAAATAAAGCCTTGGATGATATTGAGTCCCGCCGTATCCAACTTGGTAAGCTCGCTGGACAGCTTTCGGGTTTTATTGGCAGTGGACAGGAAGTTAAAGATGCGATTTTGAAGGGTTTGCACAGTAATGTAAATCAGCTTGATAAGCTTTTAAAAGCATCTTGCGGAGGGAGGGGTGTGATTGTAATATTAAGAAATTCCGTGATGACCTTAAAATCTTCAAGATACATTTAAGAAATATGATGATCTTGAAACAAAAATTAATGGCCTTAAAAAGCAAAAAGATATTGCTGAAAAAAGTGAGGCGTCCTTAAGGACGCCGTCCGTCAGTGATACTGAGATTGAGAAGCTTCAACAGGAAAATGAAGAGCTTAAAACACAAATTTTCTCACAAATTCCTGAGCTTCAAAAGGAAATTACAACTGTAATTGACGCTGTTCAAAGTAAAATTACTGAACTTGACAAGAAGAAAAAAGATGTTGATAGCCTTCAGTCTCAAGTGAATGAGCTTAAAAAGCAAATTGAGGAGGGGGAAAAGAATCTTAAAAGCCCGCAAAAATATGATGAAAATGAACTTAAAAGGCTTCAAGAAGAGCTTCAAAAAGCAAAAAATAATTTCCCTGAGAAAGACTCTAAATCTCTTGACTCTCATCAGAAGTCTATGAATTCTGTCAGAAGTCTACATGAGCTTTGTCAACATTGTGAGAATGTTAGTAAAACACAGAAAAATGATGGAAACTGTAAAGATATTTTATCTAATTTGTGCACTGGCCTCGAAAAATTTCTCGGCTACCATGATGGTAATTACACTGGCAGTGGCATCGTGTACTCGGACCTTGACAGGCTCTGCGACGGGGTGATGGCGTTCTTGGGTGGAGTTCTTGAGAGTGTGAGGGATGATGATTCCGTTACTACATATAATACTACACAAAATGACATTAATAATGTTATTACCACTTTACATGATAGTGTAGGTAAAGGCCGTCAGGCCTTCCCGGAGGCCGTGTCCAAGGTAAGTGAGTGGTTGAAAAATCATGGTGCGCAGGTGGACCAAAAAATCAAGAAGGTTATGGATCCTATAAATCGTCTACAAAATGAAATACAACGTCATAAAGGTAAGATTGAAGATGAAAAAATCAGTGATCTTTCTACGCAGATAGGCAACTGGACTGGGCGCGCCGGACAGTACATTCTTCTCGCCAAGGAGGCCGATGAGGCCAGAGAAAAATTGGATCCAGATTTATCAGGTAAGTTAGAATGTAATGTGAAATCGTTGTTTCAGGCTCTGGAGGCTTTCAAGGTGAACGCTGAGAATGACGATTTGAAGGAAGTGTATGGGCTGGTCGGGACGAAATTGAATGAGGTTACAAGATTTTTTGAAAAATACTTCACGCGGTATTCCCATGCGCTTCAGAAGTATTTGGAAGATGAAATCAGCAAGTTGTATGCGAAGGTTTTCAACCTTAAATCAACTCAATTTTGCGAATTGGAAACCTCCGTATTTGACGGCCTTCAGAAGTCCTTTGACACGGTGAGCGGTGCGTTGGCCAATCTTAAGAATAGGTTTGACAGTGACATTGTTGAAGGCGTTAGCAGTATTTTGGAGGATGCAGGGAGTCTTCAAGTATTGGTTGAAGATGAGAAAGGGAGGCTTAAGAAAGAGGTTGAACAGTTGAGTAAACGCTTGTCTGAACTTGAAGAGGTTGGTGATACGGTGAAGGTGCCGAATAAAACCCTGAGTGATTACGAGCAAATGGGTGAAGATGATAATGTATGGGATTTGAGAAGTCCGATAAAATCGCTTAAGCAGGAGCTGAATGAGAAGTTTAAAAAGTATGTGACAGAGTATGTCAAGAAAGTTCAGACGGAAGTACAGAGCATTAAAGAAGATATGAAGAATGTGAATCCGAAAGGATCTGTTCCAGGCGGTAAAATATCCAAGCTCCACCGGCAAGCCAAATCGGTCAAAGATGACATTTTTAAATTAGATGGCCAACTTCAGCTGGCTGCCGGTAAAATTGGCAAAACTATACATGACTCTGTAGAGCAAGTTGGCACAGCGCTTACCACGTTGGACACAAAAGTGAAATTTGATTTGGAGAAGTTGGAAGGACAGGTTAAGGGTTTGTTCGGTGACCTTAAACGCAGTTCGCAAGGATTTTGTGATAAATTTAGTGCAACTAAAGGAGCACTTTTTCAAGCTATCACTGTCGTGGAGAGTGCAATAACGAAATTGGGAACTCTTGATCAACTTGAGAGTATTGATACGTCTAAGCTTAGAGACCTTAAATTATTAACTGCGCTTAAGAAAGGCGGCGTTGATCCCTTCGACTCTCTTAAACAGTATTTCCAGAAGCTTGACATCCAAGTCATGCAACCTGTCAAGGAGGCGATGGAGAAGATTAATGAATTGGTTAAGATATACGCTGGTTACTACGGAGTGAATCGCTTACCAGATGAACTAAAGAAATCGCCGGTTAATGAAAGCATAACCACCGCCTTAAAATCTCTTACAACTATTAGTAATCTCACTACCCTGCCGAATCTGACTAATGTTAAATCACTTCTCGGAAACATCGTATTTGACGATCTAAATACAGAATTTTCCAACGTGCTTCCTGTCATAAATAACCTCAAAACGAAGTCCGTGGAGAATATAAGCAAAGATGAATTGGAATCCCTCCTCCCCAAATTAGCTGAAATGGCCAAAGCCGTCGCCACGCACTCGCACAGTGTGGTCAGAGCAGTCATCGATGGTGTCAGAACTGAAGTCCAAACAGAAATTCATAGTGTTGCCCAGGCTATAAATTCTAAAGTGAATAAGATTAAACAAGGTGTAAATAATGGCAGTGCCGGTGACATAAAAGTTGAGTACGGCGGCGGCGGCGAAACGGAAAACGTTAGAGGACTCGAGTGGTTGGTGACTGATTTTACAAGCAGCATCAATACTGTGATTCAAGGACTTGATAAGCAAGTGGAAGGTGCCTTTAAGAAGGGTAGTGGCTCGAATGAGTATAATATTCAGGAAGCCATGCCGCAATATTACAACTGGGTGAAGGAGGACGGCACCCAAAAAGAAACCCTTAAAGCCAAGATCGCTGCCATTAAAACAGATCTGAAGGACTATTTTAGGGCTGGTGATGTTAATAGGTTGTCCAGTTTCAAGCTTGATAAAGATGGCCCGTTCAAAGAATATTACTCAAGGAGGCAAGTAGCCACGGAAGTCATCGGAAGAGTACTCGAGAAAATAGGTATACTTGAAGGAACCTACCCTACTGTTGAGGCGCTTGACACCTATCTTGGAGATGCCATGGATGACTCGGGTGACAACCTTTCCAGGAACGTTACCGCCCTCTCCGGAAGGGGGATCCATCTCGCCGACAAAATCGATGCCCGAGTTAGAGTCAACGTAGAAGCAGCAAACGACAAACTCAAGACACTCCTCCAAGAGACGGCGCATGAAGCAATCACGAAGATGCAGGCGACGGTTAATGAGATCATCAGCGGTGAACTGGGCGATAATAAATCTAATCTGACGAAAATTAAGGAGACGCTCGCGGCGCTTCAAACAAAACAGAATGATGGTGACGTGAAAGCAGGCGCACCTGGCGGCAAGTCAACCCTTGAAAAGAAAGCTGCGGAGCTTGAATCACAAATCGGCACGTTTCTGAGTAAGAACGTTGGCGACACAGACGATAAAGCAGGCACTGTATACAACGATTTGAAGACGCTTCAAGAGAATATCAGGACACTTAGCACGAAGGTTGTAGCAGTTAGGGACAATGCAAGAAAGGTTGAAACGGAAATTACCTCGTGCATGGCCGCTACCGACAAGCTGATGACCGATGCGCTGCAAAAATCGAAAAATACTATGAAAGAATTCCATGATGTCGTCAATCGAAAAATCACCGACACGTTCCACGCCATGCAAGATGAAGCTAGGAACCTATATGCAGAACGGAAAAGAAAGGAGGTTGAAGCCTTGAAAGACATTGTAAATGCGCAGCTTAGAGAAATTACAAGCATTATCGACTCCGACATAGCCTCCGGCATCAAGGGTCTACTGGGGGAAATGAAAGGCGAACATACAAAACTGGATCCATTGAATACTGGAGCAGATAAATCAAAATTAACTGCAGGATGTGAAGCAGTGAAAACCTATTTCACAGCCATATCTACCTACGTCAGACGGCAAATTAAAGACCCTAAATATATTGCTTATGTAGTTTCCCTCCTCCCCTCCCTCCTTGAGACTCTCCTCGACGATCTCGCCACGCACCACTTCGATCACCAGTTCCACAAAAACCTCTCAGAACTCCAAAAATGTCTCGTCGATATGCGTTCCAGATCCCTTGCCGACGCGTCCAATCCGCTGGCCGAGGCGCTCAAAAAAGGCTTGCTGGCGTTCGGCGATGAACTCGGAAAGGCGTACGTCAACAGATACTCCGGAAGAGAGTGGGACCTAAAGGACTGGAATAACTATGGCAAAATAGGATTGACTGTTATCCCTACGCTGTACAGTGAGTTGACTACGTTGAAGGACCGATGCAATACAGATTGGTCCGCAAAACAAATTTGCGCGCCTAGCAGCCTCGGCAGTTATCTGAAGACTGTCGGCTATGACGTGGCAACAAGTTACTCCAATCAAGACGGAGAGTTGCAAAATGAGAAGAAATGCACCGGTGCAGATATTATTGCCAATCTAGCCAAGGCAATTGACGGCAGCAACATTCCACACCTCACAACGTGTATAACAGACAAACAAAATAAGAAAAATGGTTATAATCTCATGGACGTCATCTCATGTCTTAAATCCCATCTTCATCAAATTTACCAAGTCGGTCACTGTAAGCATATCGCGTCACCTAAGTCACCGTGCTCTGTCAACGAGATGCTCTGCTGGCTCTCCGGACTCCCACATAATAAGGTTTATGGCAAGCTCAAAGATCACTGTAGAACACTGTTTAATAAGCCCAAGGGACAAGAGCACATAGAATATTCCGACATTGACCCAAAATATCTGACACTAGATGCATCTCCAATTAATGTTACCGCGAAGGACGCGCATTCCGCAATTGACCATCTCTGTTCTAAATCCCAGACCCTACTCAACTCTATCCTTGGAACCGGTGATGCAGACTGCACGTATGCCTGTGATGTTTCTAATAACTCACTAAATCTACAATACCCATCCTCCGGGGGAGCGTGTCTGCAGATGCTTCTTGACTTGCTTCGTCGAATGTTCTTACCGCTAAAATTCTTGTGTAGCCAATGCAGTCTCAGCGTGAAGTACAGTGGCTGGCAACAATGTCTCTACGGCAGAGATATTCTCACAACCAAATTCCCATGTACCGACCATACAAGCGACGAAGCAAAGTGCCAA